GCAGAATGCTGTTTTGATGTTGTGTTTTTGGAGGATCTTGCTGATTTGTCTGTAGTGCCTTTTATATTTGTCTGTAGTGCCTTTGTTATAGAACAAAGCTGGAAGACAAATAAAAATCCTGTGTTATGGTATTTATTATCATAAGATTAAAATGTGCGTATTTGACATTTGAGAATTAGTTTGGTATATCAGTTAAACAGTACCTAGTTATACAGGAAAACACAAGTTGCTTTAGGCATGAAGCTTGGTGAGTTGGGGACATTTCAGTTTGGGATTTCAGTTTTGGATTTTTCAGGTCCAATAAAAGACAACTGAACCACTTCCAAAATATTACCAAGAAAACTGCATGGATTTAAGCAAACGCTAGCTGGAATGATAAGTATTTATTATGTATTAATGTATTAATTGACAGAGTAATGTTATTTCTTCACCAGATGTAATGATATGGAACAAAAGGCAGGTTTAAAAAAGAACTTTTAGTAAATACTATATGGATATTATGTAAATTTAATAGATTTATCAATAGCTATTAATATCAAGTCGTGGATCCATTATGTTCAGAAATAGTATACCTCCAGAATTCAGATGCTTGGACAAAAGGAGTAACTGTTATCAACTCCAAGTGTTTCTGTAAAAACTTGGAGCTCTTGGTTGATTGCGACGATAGTGCTAGGTTTTACAGTTAGATCCAACATTGGCATTGGTACTGCAGCTAGTCCTCAACTTACAACTGCAATTGAGGCCAGAATTTCTGTTGCTAAGTGAGACATTTGTTAAGTGAATTTTGCCCCATTTTATGACCATTCTTGCCACATTTGTTAAGTGAATCACTGCAGTTGTTAGTATCACACTTGTTAGGTGAATCTGGCTTCCCCACTGACTTTGTCAGAAAGATGCAAAAGATGATCACATGATCCTGGGATACCGGCAAGTATGAGTCAGTTGCCAAGCCCCTGAATTTTGAACCTGTGACCATGGGGAACAGTTGTAAGCGTGAAAAGTGGTCATAGGTCATTTTTGTCAGTCCCGTTATAACTTTGAATGATCACTAAATGAACTGTTGTAAGTCAAGGACTATGTGTAGTTAATGTTTAGCTGTTGCTGTAGATTAAACACAGATAACAGATAATCAGAGTTGGAAGGGACCTTGTAGTCATCTAGTCCAACCCCGCACCCAAGCGGGAGACCCTACACCATTTCTGACAGATGGCAGTCCAATCTCTTCTTGAAAGTCTCATGTGATGGCACTCCCACAACTTCTGAGGGCAAGGTGTTCCATTGGTTGATTGTTCTCACTGTCAGAAAATTTCTCCTTATTTCCAGGTTAAATCTCTCCTTGTTCAGTTTCCATCCATTAATTCCTTGTCTGGCCTACAAGCGCTTTAGAAAATAGCTTGACCCCTTCCTCTCTGTGGCAGCCCCTCAAATATTGGAAGACTGCTATCATGTCTCCCCCGGTCCTTCTCTTTACTAGACAAGACAAGCCCAGTTCCTGTAACCGTTCTTCTTATGTTTTAGTCTCCAGTCCCCTAATCATCCTGGTTGCTCTTCTCTGTACTTTTTCTAGTGTCTGAACATCTTTTTTGTAATGTGGTGAACAAAACTGGATGCAGTACTCTAGGTGTGGTTTTACTAAGGCTTTTAGAGTGTTATTAGTACCTCCCTTGTTCTCGATTATATCCCTCTGTTAATACAATTTAGGATTGCATTAGCTTTTTTCTTTTATGTTTTGTGTTATGTTTTTATGTTATGTTTTATGTTTTTATATAAAGACCTACACATACAACCACACCAATACACTTGCAAAACAAGTTAGGTATAGGGAATAACTTTATTTTAGCTTTATAAACATATTCTAATGGTTGATTCTATAGTGCAAAATTAATGAGCCATTAAATTTATTTGCTAGCACAGTTAAGATATTGCTTAGAGAATTATTACCGGTGATCACTGTACTGGAAATATATTTTTTTTAAAAAATTATTAATTTTTCTTATATACAACATCATTTCCATTCATTACAACGCCTTCGTGACAGTATACATACTTCTACGTAAATCTTAACTATCTATGTACTTATCTATATTGCTTTATCTATCTTTATCCACTATAACTTTTACCTTATCTTATTGTTGTCTTCTCTGTTCAAGTCTATTATTTAGCCAATCATACAGTACATTTCACATCAAATAATAATCCGTTTCCTCTCTTTATCTCCATGGTCAACTTATCCATCTCGGCACACTCTAGTATTTTTCTTATCACATTCCTCTGGTGGCATAGTATCATTTTCCAATTCTGTTATTTTTACTGCCGTAAATAAATGTAGCATTAGATACTGTGTTTTCTTTTATTTTCCCATTATTATGGCTAATAGAAAAGTCTCCGGTCTTAATTCAATTTGCTGTTTATTTCTTCTATCCATTTTTTTTTGTCCTTATCCAATATTTTCTCACTACAGGGCATGTCAACCACACATGGTAATATGTTCCTTGCTATTGTTTGCGTTTCCAACACTCAGATGATCAGTTTGGGAACATTTTTGCTAATCTAGCAGGTGGTAGGTGCCACCTGTAGAACATTCTGTGCAAATTTTCTCTATATGATACCGACGTTATCAATTTATAATTTTCCCCCACATTTTTTCCCATTTCTCCAATTCTATTGTGTAACTAAAAATTTTCACCCAAACTATCATTGTTTCTTTAACCCTCTTCTCTTCTGTCTTATATTCCAACAAATAACTATATCAACTCCTAAAATATTTCTCTGGTCTTTTAGAGTTGCCAACAGAAAGGAAGCGGGGAGTAGTGTAGCAGCTTGCAAAACCAAAACTGCATTCCATGGATGTTTCATAGATAATTTCCAGGCAACCGAAGTTTATGCTGTGCAAAATTCTAACTGGCGAGTATGATTGATGACTCTTGGCTATGGATGTGTCCCATTGGAAAATATGAATTATGATACATCCAGGGGGTGGGGGAAAACCAGAGTCAAGGGTGACAATGAATGATCAGAGTCAGCTACACCCAGGCAGCACCGGCATGTGTACTCCTAATAAATCTTCTTTGAGCTTTGAAAGTTCTGCTAGAGATTCATTTAAATGTGGATAACTACCGGAACCCTGACAAATTATATAATTTTAAAATCAATTTCTCCTCTGGACCTTGTAGAATCTTATCTAATTGTGCTAG